GAACAGTCCGCATCTCTTTGATCCGCGAAATGAACTTTGGGCGGCGCTCTCCAAGATCCCTCAGGTTCATCTCTATGCGTCTCCTGACTCTCAGTCCTTGCTGGTGGGTGATTCCGGCTGTGTTGACTTGAGCCGTAGTTTTCTGGCCTATATCCAAAAGCGGAGTTCAATTGAGGTTGGTCTGGGACATCCATATAGTTACCATTCATTCCTCGAGATCTAGAGGAATAATTTTCACTTAGATTGTGCAAATCAGAGTGAGGATTTAGTGGACGGTGAAAATCTTGACTCTCTTTCCACCTACCGTATCTATGACCGTAGTGTACCGAGTTTGATTCTCTCGGAGGTTGAGGGCGATCATATATTAAATTCTTGAGGTGAATTTGCTCCCAGTTCTGAAGTTGCAGATTCTGACATTTCGGTTTAATATGCCCTACATGGCCACATCCAAAACACAACGGTCCATCACTCGCCTTGTAGATAGCAGCTCCATTAACAAACGCATTCTTAGACACGTTCCCAGGATTATATGTGCTCTGACGATTAGTGGTGTTTCCTCCAAGAGTCTGATGGGCAGGAGGTGAGTCCTTATTGGCATGATTGAACCCGTTCCCAAACTGTTGTTGTTGATGATGCGGAGGCCGAGGTTGATAATATGAGGCTTCATTGCTGAAGCCCTGCCTTGGCTTAGGTACCATTATCCTCCCAGAACTTAAGTCTGCAAGCACAGATGAGACGGATTTCCCGTAATGAGATGAGCATAGATCTCGAATTTGCGCCATTTCGTTCCTCTCAGCGGCTCTTTCTCTAGCTTCCTTAGCCGCATCTAGACTTTGCTTAACCCCAAGGATTATTTCTTGACATCTCCACATTGAACCGCATGATAGCGCGGACCTGGAAAGCGCTTCACACCTGACATCTTCTTCACGAAGCCCATTGAGGAACGCAAGGATAATGGAGTTGAGCACTGTTTGCTCAATAGGAATCATTGGTCTGCCCAGAGCTGCTGTCCTTGGGGCATCCCTTCCGTGTGACCGACGAAGAATGTGTAGCGCACGCTGATAGTATGCTGTCAGTGGTTCAGCTTCCTTCTGCATAAAATCCTGGATATCATTTTGCAGGTTCCCTTCGACGTGATTTACCAACTTGGCGGGGAACATTTCAATTAGCTGTTGTTTAAACTCAGCCACCTGCTCATCTGTCGAATTCTGCCGGTCGTCAATGAAGGCCCTTAATTCCGGAGTTGAATCAAGCCATCCTGCCGCTTCGTCTTCAAAAAGGATATCAATTGCGAAGAAAAAATTTTCTGGTGAGACCGTCGTATGCCCCGCCGTCCTGAAATCATATTCGAGTCGTGACAGCCACCTTGCTCCGGAGTTTCCTTCTCCAACAAACCTTCCCGCCTGTTCAAACTTTGGGAGTGTTCGATTTGCCATTCCGAGTTCCTCTTCACCAATCCAGATTCTTTCCAACTCAGCACGCAATTCACTAAAATCAAAAGCCGTTTTTTTTTTTTTTTTTTTTTTTTTCTTTGTAATCTTCCTTATTCTTCTGTTGTTATTTTTCCACCTTCTTCTACACCAATTCCAGATCACAGATGTTAGGCCGATAAGTTAACTTAATAATGGGGCCTTCGTAATTGATTCACACTTGAGGGTCAACACTTGAACGAAACGGGTTTCTTTAACAGGCACTGTGATGACGCGTTTCGACCCAGCAGCACAAAACTAGGTCGTAATATGTATATAGACCACCGAGCTGCCAACTAAATTTCAGGATGAATTTTCAGCCTGTGGACTCGAGATAGCTCCCAATAACAGTTGACTCCCATTCAACGCGTGAGATGATCTGCTTCGATAAATAGACCGTATCCACACGACACGATTACTAATAGTCACCACCTGACGTCTCGATACCGATGATATAAAGTAGGTAGATAGTTAAGATCAAAGTAGACAATGACAACGACCCGAGGAAAATCCCCTGTGCAGGTCACCAGTAAATTGTCTTGAATAAAAGTGGGAAGTGGGCATTCGTTTCATTCTATGGAGACAGAGAATCTAAGTACAGTATGGCGATCCACGGTCCACCCGGCAACCACCAGACCAACCCCTTAGGTCTGGCTCATTAACTGGCACATCTTCGAGGCCTCATGAATCGCAGACGGCAGAGATTGCTGGACAGTTAGTGGGAAGAGGCCTGTCCGCCTAAATACTGCCAACTCAACCTACAGGTGCGGAGACGCAAACCACACGAATTATACCTCTCCAGGCACCTCCTCCGTGAACTAATTGCAGCACGAACAGGTCACGGCAATTTTGCGGCATACCATCGCCGTTTTAATAATCCACACGCTCCTACGGAGTGCTCTTACGGGAAGGAAACTACTCCAACCCACTTCATCCATTGTAGTCACCACGCACAACAAACGCGTAGGCTCAGAAAGTCAATGTCACACGCTGACTTTATCAAAAAGCTTCTAGGGCCCAAATGCCACAATAGCTTCAAAATATTTGCGGAGGAAACCGGCCGTTTTGATGGCCAACCTGGCCACTCATCCACTGCTCTCAGCGGGGACCAGACAATCTAGTTGTTGCCGCAACGCATGACACAAAAGGGATCGATGCGAGAAATGTTGTTTCTCTGAGGAAATTTTTTATGTACTTGATTTTAGGGTTGAAGGATGAAGTCTCCATTTCGGAGTCGGAGTAGGTGGTGTCTTCTGAGTTATAATTTACCTTCTACTTTTTCTGTAGCGGGTCTCGCGGTTGGAATGAGTTGGGCCTGTTGTCATGAATGCGCTTTTCACATTAGTAGTAAATCGTCATGTACGTAGTGAAGCACGCAGAGCCAGGGAAATGGAAACAGGTTAGTGATAAATTAGATACCACCGATCGCTACACTCACCCGTAGATCACTCCTAAAAGAGACTAGCTACGGCGCTATCTGGAAGTATGTGGGATTGGCTAATTATCATGAACATAACCTGTAAAATTACATAACATATAACACAATAAGACACCGGAGGACGAAGGCTGAACACCTGTCAGTGGTGTCCTCTACGAACCTGGGAGTGAAATATTCTCCCAGAGCCGAGATTCAGTCACGAAAAAGGGTGCGATGAATTTTAATTGATGGATTTTCGACTTGAAGGAGTTGCACTCGATATTTTGGTCGGAAAATCAGTCGGCAGAGATTTCACAGCCGGAACAACGTCGAACAAAAAGTCATCACCACCAACATACGATTCACGAATGGGCCTAGGTATATCCGGGGGTCGTATTCAAACATCCGACATCTCTTAAACTTCTTTTATACTTGCGACGAAGCATTTCTCAATCGATCCTACACCTGCAACCTACCTCCATACCCGTCCGATCACCTACCTACACACGCCCTAATGAGGAAAGTCATGATGGAAACGGGACGTGTACAAAGGAGGAAGAAAAGGGAAGATACACCGAGGGGATTACACAAATCCCCAATGACGAAAACAACCCACCGGTACGATATGAAGGTGCAAGGCTAGAGCAACGATGAGATCTTGAACGGCATTTATATTTCGGAGTCAATGAGGATGTCAAGGGCTCGGGCGCGTGGTGGCTGAGGCTGAGGAGGAAATCGCGCTACGGCGTGTATACAGCGGGTTTCTGGACGGTTAGGCTTGGTATGATTCAACACATAGGTGAAGTCTGAGGTGGTCCGGTCATTAAAGTGGGACGAGGTTTATCTGTACTTCACGGTAGTTAACCTGATCCAGCCCAACCCCACACATGCTTAAGCTCCAATAGGAGTGCAACGGTAGCCATGTAACCTAGCACGTTAGTGAACAAAACAAAACAATAAGACACCATTCGCATCCAGTAACATTTATTGCTATAATCACCCAAGTATATTCTAAGCCCCCTGAGTAGTCACAACCATTTAATTGAAGATACCAAGTGTATACAACCATATACATCACCACCCTTCAATACCTGTAAGCAGTGATCCCCGCCGGCTCCACCAGTCTTGTACCGATAGTGGACCTAGAGCTTTAGCTAAGGACTTTAATGTTATAAAAAAAAAACATACATATTCCCTACATACCTTATCTTACCCTCTATCTATTCTCGCCACTGTGACTCCACTTTCTCAATAATCCTAACAGAGACCCATTGCGTACGCGAACACGTGTGTATTACCGACCGACAAATACCATAAAATATTTAATATTTTTCTACAGGAAACAAAATTACAACTGGATTGTGCCAACACAAAGTGTGCCCTGACAATCACCTTGCATTAGCACAACCAGTGGGCCTTGCTCTGTGTAAAAGGCTGAGCCTTTTGCCACACACTGATTGGATGCAAGGCTGGGCACGCAGGTCAGCTCAGACAACTGATAACGAGTGATCCTGTGAATCAGATACCCTCATGCGATGGATGCTTCAAGGATGAGCCGGAGATTGTATTAATGAATTGTTCCGATTATAAGAAGCGGAAGAAATGGCTTACCCAGATCTCCAGCTTCGTAATTTTTAGTCTTCTCTTCTTTTGATTACAATCTTCTTTGGTATCTTGCTGCCACAATTATCTATTCTTAATCTATGAATTCTTAATTCAAACCCTCCATTGTGAACCTCGATAATCACCTTATACTTCTTGAAGACAGCAAATCCTACCCCTTTTGGATCGCGCAATAACATCCTCATTGAAGTGAGGACAAATGTATTATTTAATCTTTGTTCTGTAGGCTCTACGACGGGAGCTGGATGTTTGTAAGGGACACCATCTACAGGTAGTGGGGTTTCGTCAGTTGCCGACATTTCATTGTGTAGTGAAATGGTGCATCACTTAGGTAATGCTAGAGTTGCCTACATGTCCTTGTGTATTCATAGACTCAATAGGACAATAAATAATCCTTAAAATTAGCCAGAGTTCCATTCATATAACAAAGCTTCATGTCTGTACGAGTGGTTCCAACTCAACGATATTATGGAAGCCAATCTAGGATATGACTAAATTGAGGCTAATTTTTGCAGATTTCCATAAGTAATGGCCTTAGTAACTTGATACTCCCCGATCCCGTACTTACTACCTTCTTTTCCAAATCCACTCTCTTTGACACCTCCAAACGGAACAGCGGGATCGCTTATCAGCCCAGTATTAACGCCAACCATTCCCGTTTCGAGGGCGCCTACCACTCTTGTCACTCTGTGAATGTCGCGTGAGAATATATATCCTGCCAAACCAGCCGGCGAAAGGTTTGCAAGCTTTATTGCTTCCTCTTCCGTGTCAAATTTGAATATTCCAGCTACAGGGCCAAATGTTTCTTCCGACGCAAGCGTCATTTCGGTGCTCATGTTAGTAATAACAGTAGGCTGATAGAAATTTGGACCAAGCTCTTTCATAACACGACCACCTTGCACAACAATTCCACCTTTCCTTTCCGCATCGCGCACATGTGAATCAACTCTAGCAACCGCCCTCTTATGAATTAGAGGTCCTTGCGTCACGCCTTCTGTAAAGCCGCCCCCAACCCTGAAACCCTGAACATGAGCGACAAGGTTTTTTACAAATTTGTCATGTATTGATGTCTGAACAAATATTCGATTAGCACACACACAAGTTTGGCCTGAGGACCGAAATTTGCTGTTTATTGCACCTTTGGTAGCAAGCTCGATATCTGCATCGTCGAAGATTATAAAGGGTGCATTTCCGCCGAGTTCGAGGGACAGCTTTTTGAGGGTTGATGATGACTGTCTCATTAAAATTTTGCCGACACTAGTGGAGCCGGTAAATGATATCTTCTTAACAGTCGGGGAGGTAGTAAGAACCTCACCGACTGCTACAGTATTTTCAAGGGCGCTCACTACATTAATAACTCCTTTGGGTACTCCAGCCCGATGAGCGAGCTCGACAAGTGCGAGTGCCGTGAAAGGCGTCTCTCCGGGCGACTTAATAACAACCGAACAGCCAGCAGCAAGAGCCGGTGCAACTTTACGAGTTAGCATGGCGGCTGGGAAGTTCCATCTGTATTGGTTAGTTTACGCTCGGGCGTCTGAACCGATAAACAGACGGGGTGATGAGCCCACAAACCCCTATCGGTTCCTTAACAGTGATTACACTATTTTCTGCAGATGAAGATAGAATGGTATCTCCACATATTCGAGGCGCTTCTTCACTGAACCACTCGACAAAATTTGCAGCATAAACGACTTCTCCTTTCGCATCTGCCAATGGCTTTCCGTTCTCCCAAGTGATAAGTTTGGCTATATCATCTACATTCTGAATCTATATTTATGTAAGGTCATGTAAATTTTGATTCAGAAATTTGTTATACCATCAATTCATACCATCTTCGTAGAATCTTTGATCGTTCTCGACCAGTCTTTGTTCGGAATATGGGAAAAGCTTCCGCTGCCGCATCGATTGCGGTTAATGTATCCTCAGCATTACACTCTGGTGCTGTGCCTATAAGTTCTCCCGAACATGGATCTTATAGAATTAGCATTCTTTCTTAGAAAGGAGATTGGCTCTACCGTGGACTTCGAAAGTCATCCTCGATTTTGCCTCTAACCATCTACCATTAATATAAACCAAGTTGGTTTTAAATAGCGAAGGGTCTCTGAGAATTGGAGGACTATGTGACATTATGTAACCGTGTCGGTAGAACTGAATTAATCTGTCTGGTCCTCGAATACGTAGACGAGATAATGACCTTATGATAGAAGGACTTGAAAGAATAGACATAATCTACTTAGGGCAATTGAAGCTTATTAAGACAAAAGAATTCTATCCTAAAGTCAATATGGGGCGACAGGTCTCAAGCGATTGATATCACCTGTGATTGGATTGAACAAAATTAGTTACAAAGCCGGCGCCACTCTAGATCAATCGCGCACTCAGACTCAATATCTAATGCGGGGTCAAGCAGGTATGTGGGAGCGTGCGTCATGTTTTTTAATAAGCAATCAAGGAAGCTTCCTATTCTAAGATAATTTTAATTTTGTGTTGTGTTAGTGATATCTAATTTCTATCTGCGACCATATAAAACATGCAGGCCCGTTATACCTACAGGAAAAGGACACCCACATCTCGAATATTATATCCCCTCAAATACCTAATATACAGCTCCCTTCAAACAGTACCACCGCTTATAAGCTCTCATTCGATCATACTCTATGAGAGGTCTTTTGCCCTCCATTATCTCCCCTCTCCAGCCAACGGAACAACGCCCATTTGCGGGTGTATGGCAGCCGGGAAAATTTGCAAAAACTACTAGGTCTAAGGCTCTTCTCTTACCAAAATTAGGACTAAGTCTAAAGACATAGTGACCCTTCTGAAGCGTTCGAAGAGGTCAGCCAGCTAGGCGCTACTGACTTGTGGGTACCTCTGGAAATTCTCTCTCTGCTTTTCTAGTATCCTTTGATCTCCTTTCTGAAGGTCGTGTTGAAATGTCAGGAAGCTATTGATAACGTGTTTGTATATATGTTTATTAACGTGCTTGGCAACTGACACCCTTCGCACTCTCATGGGAGCTTGAGCGCAAGTGGAGCCGGGCTGGATCAGTTCAACAACCATATAAATACAACAAACCTTGTCCCACCTCAGACTTCACCTATGTATTGAATCGTACCAAGCTGTACTGCCCAGAAATCCACTGTGTATATGTCGTAGCGCAGATTCCTCGGTCTTGGCCATCACGCATCCGAGCCCTTGACATACTCATTGAATCCAAAATATAAACGTCGTACCAGATCTTATCGTTGCTCTAGCCTTGCGGCTTCATATCGTTCCGTTGGGTTATTGTCATCATTGGGGATTTGAACTCCTGTGCAAAAGTGTGATCCACTAGGTTTATATTCCATTTTTTTTCCTTCATTGCATACGTTTCTTTTCTATCATGACTTTCCTCATTAGGGCGTGTGTTGGTAGGTGATGTGACAAGTATGGAGGTTGGTCGCAAGTGTGAGATCGGCTGAGATATGGATCGTCGCAAATACATGAGGAGTTTGAGAGATGTCGGATGTTTGAGTACGACCCCCAGACATACATAGTCCCATTCGTGAATCGAATGTTGACGGAGATGAATTTCTATTATCGATTAGTCTGCTGCAGTCTTCTGTAACCCAGACAGTACAAAAGAATCTAGGCTAAGCTTATACTGTAAGAATTCTTGAGAATGCCTCAGGCAGGATTTATGGGTTCCTTGTTTAATCCAACTACTCTTTTTTTGCATCAGATTCTAATTGCGTATGCAGCTATCTAGCTATGACACAATATCAAAGAAAAGCACAGAATAGATGATTCAACGTAAAGGAAGAGCACTCATGCCTCGGATTTCATTTGCAAGTACCACCAACTAGTCTTTATTGCTTAGCGAGGGCACCTGTGTAGTTTCCATTTCCGAAACTGAGATCTTCACGCTTTGTTTTCTGTCTTTAGGAATAGTTACATTATTCTAATCACATCTCACTCTCGTCCTCTGCCAACTGTAGTGACCTACCGTCACCTCCGGCCCCTTTATCTAGAACGACTCCCCGCTTTCCCATTTGCCACTTCTCTAGAAAGCCCTCCGCGTTCCCAAGAGGCGTCCTTCCTCAGTACATCGTACGCTACGCCCTCTCCTACGCCTCGAGTCTTGCGCCTAGTGAACCTGCGCATGACATAAACAGCAAATACCTTTTGTCAAAAGTAAGATGGAGTCTGAACACCTGTCAGTAGTGTCCTATTAGAACCTTGGAATGAAATATTCTCCCAGAGCCGGGATTCAGTCACAGACACGAGTGGGATGAGTCAAATTTGATGGATCTTTGACTTGCAGGAGTTGCACTTGGTATTGTGGTCGAAAAATCAGTCGACAGAGATCTAACGACTGCAAGAAGTCGAATAGAAATTCATCTCCGTCAACATTCGATTCACGAATGGGACTATGTATGTCTGGGGGTCGTACTCAAACATCCGACATCTCTCAAACTCCTCATGTATTTGCGACGATCCATATCTCAGCCGATCTCACACTTGCGACCAACCTCCATACTTGTCACATCACCTACCAACACACGCCCTAATGAGGAAAGTCATGATAGAAAAGAAACGTATGCAATGAAGGAAAAAAAATGGAATATAAACCTAGTGGATCACACTTTTGCACAGGAGTTCAAATCCCCAATGATGACAATAACCCAACGGAACGATATGAAGCCGCAAGGCTAGAGCAACGATAAGATCTGGTACGACGTTTATATTTTGGATTCAATGAGTATGTCAAGGGCTCGGATGCGTGATGGCCAAGACCGAGGAATCTGCGCTACGACATATACACAGTGGATTTCTGGGCAGTACAGCTTGGTACGATTCAATACATAGGTGAAGTCTGAGGTGGGACAAGGTTTGTTGTATTTATATGGTTGTTGAACTGATCCAGCCCGGCTCCACTTGCGCTCAAGCTCCCATGAGAGTGCGAAGGGTGTCAGTTGCCAAGCACGTTAATAAACATATATACAAACAAATATAAGTCTCTTCCTCCGGGCACTAATCGCAGCCCAAACAGGACACGGTAATTTTGCGGCATACCATCGCCGTTTTAATAACCCAAACGTTCCTATGGAGTGCTCTTGCTGGAAGGAAACTACTCCAACTCACTTCATCCACTGTGGCCACCACGCACAACACACTCGTAGGCTCAGAAAGTCTGTGTCCCATGTTGACTTTATCAAAAAGCTTCTCGGACCCAGATGCCACGAAATATTCAAAAAATTTACGCAGGAAACCGGCTGTTTTGATAGACGACCTGCCCACTCATCCACTGCTCTCGGAGGGGATCAGATAAACTAGTCATTGCCACAATTCATGACACGAAAGGGGACGGGGCGAGAAGTATCATTACTCTAAGGAAAGATTGTAGCTATTTGCATTTATAAGGGAAAGGAGTGATTTTTGATCAAGGAATTGGAGTAGGTAGTATCTGCGTCGTAATTTACTTCCTTTTTAGAATAAGTTTCTTGTATACGAGTGGTACGTAAGTACTGGAAGTAGAATTGATAAAGTATTGAGTTTATCTATCGTGTATGATTCTCGCGATCGCAGCATCCTTCAATGCTGCGACCATACTCCTATTAATATGTGTCTGCCAGCCTCGTCTATACGTGTCAAGGGATAGAGTGAATTGAGGGAAGTTGTTGTCACATGATATAACGCGTCTGATACGCGATTCACGATGTATATATTTTTACAGGACTCAATAGGAGTCACCTCTCTTCTTTGTAGACAATCTCAATCACCAGATTAGACCTCGTCAATCTACTTCATGACCTTCCCCTGACAATACGCTAATACGGAACTACTAATACAGGTTATCTAAGATCTCCAAACGCCTTACCCTCTATACTCCTAAGTAAGTAGTAAATACAACCATGTCTCCATTATGTTCAGGTACAGGAATGATTGTGTTTGAACAACAATCTTATAATTCAACATTCCTACTATTTCTGTAGCGAGTCCAGCGGTTGGAATGAGTTGGGCCTGTAAGCAGTAATCCCCACCGGCTCCACCAGCCTTATATCCAAATCGGACCTAGAGCTTTAGCTTAGGACTCTGACATAATTATAATAAAATAAAGAAGTTTCCAAATGCTCATACATGCCTGTTCAAAATTGGCAAGTGACAACGCCTAACTCAAGGCAGCTTCAAACCTTGTCGCTTTACGGATCGCGAATACACCCGTTAAATTAATCACGATAGAGGCTTCCGTAACTCTCGATACTGAATTGCTCTGATGAAATCACCCATATCACCAAGTTAAAGCCTCTCCAGGTGCAGCTCTATGGGAAATGCCGCTCCGGAGCGCCTTAATGCAAGAGTCAAGTCTTTTTCCACCTGAAATCTACCCCTCGTGCGTATTTCAGCTTCTTCGAGGAGTCTGGTTTGGCTATAAACCTTAGACCTGGTCACCAATTTGAGCAGTGTCGTCGCTGCCTCAGCAAGCACACCACACGTGGTTGCTTCCGCGCTCCAGTCTACTGAAATTGCGGATCAATAATGCATTTTGTGTTGAAATTATGGAGTACAGAGATAAGTCAGGTGATGCTTAATGGAAGTAATTGATGAAGGGTTTGGTTGTTGAGTTTTCTATTATTTCTGTGTTGGAATACACTTTGTCGATCCTACTAGGCTCGATAATTAGTAGTCCCGACCGACTGGTGTTTGGCGAACGGATATTGCGTATACCCTGTGCTAGCGTTTTTTTTTTTTGCATCAGATTCTAATTGCGTATGCAGCTATCTAGCTATGACACAATACCAAAGGAAAGTATAGAATAGATGACTCAATTTACCAGAGGAGCACTCATGCCTCAGATTTCATTTGTAAGTACCACTGCGAAGTTATGGCGGCTTTTTCTTCACCCCAAGTCAACCCTCATCCGTGAATACCCACCCAGAGGAACATCTCAAAAACCCTGAGTTATCCAGACATGCCTTCATTATCTCTCAAAATTTCTCCGCGCGAAATATGGTCTTAGGCGTCTCCTTCCCAAGTGGAGTAGGTGCCCAGGCTACTCAGACTATACCAGAGAACACCACCAGGAGGCGGACCACAACACCTTCTATCGTTTGCTTGTTTCTATAGTGTCAGCTGCACTCTCGCAACCGAAGTCTTGGCGCGCACAAAGCCCAATTCGAAAAACTCCTTGCCAAAATTCGGAATCTCATGCCCTTCGAAGTTATATCCTTCCTCCGTATCATCTTGTCAACTTATCCTAGTCCCTCTCACATCCATCCCAAAGAACTGTCTCCCAGATTTGTGCGCCACGCTTTCCTTCCTCCGTCGGGTATAAATATCGGCGTGGGCGTGTATTTGGTGACCAGCTGAGGCCAGAGAAGGTCGAAGAGTGGTGTGGTCATTGGAATGAGGATGCACTTGGTCGTACTTGTAGACTCGATGAGACGAAGATAGGAGTCAAAGTCGTTGGGAGCGAAATAACGACGTGGATGAGTAATTTGGATTTTTGCCTCGTGGGCCAACTTCTTTGATATTGCGAAATTTGACTGAACTTGGCTCTGGGAGAATATTTCACTCCCAGGTTCGTAGAGGACACCGCGTCAGGTGTTCAGTCTTGCCCTCCCTGTGCTAGCGTTGTTTACTGCTGTTAATAGGAGATCCCGCACGGGCTATCTATTGGGATTAAAAGGAGTCTGGTACCTGTGTTTAGTAGAGAAGTCGAATTGACATCCTTTTTCCCTTCATTATTGCATAAGCTTCCCTTTGCCAATAAATTCCACGAACTAAGTAGTGGGTTATACATCTCAATATTTTGAAGCAGAGTGAAAGGCCTTCACCAGATGTCGAAACTGTGGGGAACCTCACCGCTCGGATTCTTGGCACTGACTAGTTAGACCTAACAAGTTCGGTAATGTGAGAAAAGAGCAGCTTGCAGTGATTCGCCATGTCGGGAATGGGAGATTTGGAGAGGCAATCCTGGAAAAGGCTGCATCTTAAAGGGCAGAAGAGGGAAAAATCGCCTCAAACAAGACGTTTCCATGGCGGAGGGATCGTGCTTCGGAGCTCTGGAGTTAGAGGAAGAAGCTTGAGGGCTCAGCGACCCCGATAACGCCTTTTTAGGCGTTACCTATCAACAGCAGGATACCGGTTGAATAAATGGTACGTGCTAACGTTTCTATAGCTCTCAGTAGAGATTGTGAAGATTTGTCATTTGGAAGGTGTAACAGGCGAGAGAATATTTAAGGAGCGCGTTGCGTGAGTCCACTGTGGAGAAATCTTCTGCGTTTTGAGTGGTTTTGATTCTCTTGTTTTTGGTATCATTTTGATGTGTTGCAACCTTATTTGCGATTGATGCGTTTGAAGTGAGTTAGGCTATGGAAAATATCACAGGGATCCCTATCGGTTCAACCGGTCTCGGACCAGAAGTGGACTAGGAACTTTAACTTAGAGCATTAACTTAGGGCCAAGTCCAATGTTTAATAGATATAGGAAGTCTTCCCAGTTGATTAACTAAAACCTTGGCCTTGGTGTACACAAAAATTCCAGTCGAAATCCCATCCAAAAGCGTCGGTTCCATCACGTCCAGTGATGACCTCTTTCTTATCATATCCCTGCCCCAGTCTCCTATCCATCCTCAAGTTGTATAGCCCCATAAGAGCAACAATCCTCCAGAGGCAAAGAATTGATGTTTATGTATTATGACTTAATTTCCTCCTTGCGGGTATATCTAGCATCGTAGAGTTAGTAGTGTGTCATGGCCCGTATTTAATGAAGCAAGCTCCCGTCAGAAATTTGAGCAACTACTTGACCGGTTGTTGAGGAGAGGTGATTTGCAGTAAGATTTACTTAGCCTCGCGTGAGAATGACAATACCGACATTAATGAGAAACCGTTGATTATTGACACCATTGTGTTTAATTTCGTCTTAACTCGGATGTAATTCGTCCTGGCTGTCAAAGATAAGCAGAGCATATTGAGAAGTTACATCAGCACCACCGGAAGGCGAAGAGCCTATCTTTGCCGGCTCAGTTTCAGCGATCTCTTTATGGCAATCACTTTCAGAATCGAGGTCTATTCTTGGCAACCGAGAGAACGTGGAAGCTTCACGAAGACATACACTGCAGATGCCAAAAACTCAGGCTACATTCATAACGCTCTAGACACAAGAAGGTCCTTCAGATACATCATTTGCCTTGTTCCCACAAATTTTGTGAGGCCAGCAATATGACTTCCGAAGTCAGCAAAGGTGATGTTGCCCTCGACAACAAAGATTACGGGCTTGCAATTGCCCATTTCTCTACGGCCCTACTGTCTACGCAGGCGCCTACCTGGCTACTTAAGCGTGCAACAGCATACCATCGTCTAGGCCAATTTGAACACGCGCTCGCCGACGCCAACAGTGCCGTACTCGTAGCCCTCGGCAGAGGTAAGCGTGAACTAATAGCTGATGCATATTTTCGCCGCGGTATCGTTCTTCATGGTATGAAGCAGTACGGAAATTCACGTATGTGCTTTCACTGGACCCGTCAGTACAATGAAAAGTTAAACGGACTCGGCATGTGGATTGCTAAAGTCACAGCCGACTACGATGCTGCAGGAGGTGACGAGGCAGAATGCAATGCTGTGACTATAAAGGAGGTACCAGATAAGATCGAGCCATTACCTTCGTCTAATACATCAGTCCATAATAGTGAGGGAGTTTCTTCTCCGGTAACAATCTCTGCCGGAAAGAAAGTAACGGAATCTACGCCAACTTCTACATCTAATGTTAGACATGAATGGTATCAATCCCAAAACGCCGTTACGGTAGAAATTTTAGCCAAAAATATCCCATTTAGAACTACAGATATCAAAATAATGAAAACCAGCGTAAGACTGAAATTTTTATCCTAGCCCAAGCTTAATACTAAACTAAACCAAGTTAGAAGTTAGTTTTCCCATCGGGACCTCACAAGAGATATACAGCCTTTGCATTAACCCACTGTTTGGGGAAATTGATTCGACAAAGAGCACCTTTCGTATAGCAACACATAAGATTGAGCTTGTATTGAAAAAGTCTAAGTACGGTCTCAAGTGGCCAGCTTTAGAGGCTACCAAGTCTCACAATGTGAGTGATTCCAGAGAATCTATCATGATGCCCTCCCCTGACGTTATGTGCGACAAATCATCATCAAAACCTCCTGTTTATCCGACTTCGTCAAAAGCTGGACCAAAGAATTGGGATACCTTGGTTCAAGATGAGAATGACGACGACACCGATGGACCTGATGCATTCTTCAAGACGCTTTACAAGAACGCGGATTCAGATACCAAGAGAGCTATGATGAAGAGTTTCCAGGAGAGTAATGGAACCTCATTGAGCACGCAATGGAGTGATGTCAGTAGTCGAACGTTCGAAACTGTACCGCCCCAAGGGGTTGAGGCCAAGAAATGGGGGGATTGAACGTAAATAATTTTAATAGTAACTATAAACACCACACTGTGCTTTGTAGATTCAATTTAAGTAATAATTTTATAACGCGTTCTTGGGACTAGCAACCTGCTCAAATAGCCATTTATACACTTTGATCCCTACTATTAATAATGACTCTCTTATCTCTTTCGATCTAACTGACAGGGTTCTATGTAAAACCATCTCAGACTCATATGAGTTAATTCTTCTAAAACCCCTATACTATTTTCTTGCGCACCCTTGCAATGGGGTCGTAGGTTAGCGGGGATCAGCCTCAATGGGCAGATGGACCTTACCAACGCCATCCGTGTTCTGTCGGGTCCAGGTGATATATCATCAGGAACCCAATTTCTCATAGCACAGCAGGTGAAGGCTATTGTAGGTTATTGTAAATATTCGGAAATAATTCTTATCTTCTAAGATCAGACGTAGTCCGTTTTTAATGGAACCCGTGACTGAAATATTTTCCATAACACGTAGTGTTTTATTGCATCATACATTCCTTAATCTTCGCTAGGTATTTGATGAATGCACACTCTTTCTTAATTTATATTGATTTTAGATTTGGGAAATGTCTTTGGTATGCCGTGACTAAGTTTTCGAGCCGCGAGTTATTGCTGTTGTGGCATACAAGCCGGAATAGAAAACAGGTGAATCCACTGACAAAATCTATAAGTGTGACGCAAAGATTTGACCTCGGGTACGGACAGGAATTTCAACCCTTAGATGAGTGTCCTAGAACTATGTAGCCACGATGATAATTTTTTTATCCCTAAAGACCTGCACACCTGCGCGATTCAACCCTTCGGGCCTGCACAGCGTGGATAATGTCAAAATTTATGGTGAGATTATATTGTCATGTGAAAGAGTCCCCAGCAGGATGAGTTTAAAGAAAGCACGTAGGTAAAAACAGAGGCTCCCTTTTCCTGTTATCTTCGCGATACAAAGTCAGTAATAGTAAACAAAATCTAAGGAAGAAAACTTGGATGTATTCATTTTATGGCCACCACCCGCTGGAAATGGCAAGATTCGTAAAACCGACTTTTTCAAGTGCTAAAGCAGCCCTATTACTTGTACACTTTGGTCATAGGACCATCTCTCAATTACGAAACTATTATATTTCGAGTGGACACATAAGCAAATAATTCACTTTTTGCTCAATGGGGATGATGCAACATCGTCAGTTATTCGATTTGCATTCCTTCCCGCGTTAGATATATGATGAGCAGATTTTTCTTTACGGTGTTCATCTATAGCAGTCCGATGTTGAATACTTGAGTCATGGCTTTTCCACTCGACTTTGGTGTCAGGGGGAAATCCTAGAATACGCTTCATCGTTTCCCTGTACGAGCGTAAGTATAAATATTTAAGTTTTGAGCCTTTTAAATACCTTATTTTGAGAACTCTTCCACCATCATTTCGAGTCCAAATACTCAAAATATCCTCTCCGTTGCGCACGCTGAGAACAATTCCACATACCTCCTCGCTAGCCTCTGCAAATTGCTCGCCGATTGTTGCGAAGACTAAATCTTCCCAGTACCGATCCGCTAGTCCTTTTTTCATTCGAACAATCCATTTACCACCCTTCCTATTTTCGTCGTCTTCCCATACAGGCCTTATCCCTTTTTTGAATATGTGATAGTCTGATACCGGTGGCAATGAAGATGGTCGTTTAAGGTGCCGATATATTGTCAGAAAATCTTCAACACTTCCAAATCCAGCGATAGGATGTAAAGTTTTTTCATACTGGATAAAACCATTTGACTTCGAAATAGGCGGACGAAACCATATCATCCAGTTGTGACGTAGTATATGAGTGGATGATGATGTCGTTAAATGTTTATGTTCCGAAGTTGATGTCTTTGTTTGATTGGTTATGGCTTCTCGAAGTTCAAGATTGGGCGCCTTGGTTGAGCCCATGACGTTGCTAAAATCTAGTGCAGCACCTGGTGTTTTAGATGTTTTAGAATTACCGAATGAAGCGAATGCACCAGATCCTAGTCCGAATGCACTCGATGCGCCAGTGGTTGGAGATGCGAGAGAAGATGTAGATATAGGAAGTGTGTTGTAGTGGGTTTTTGAGTTGTTCTGTAAGCCATCAGCGTGCCTACGACCCAGAGAAAAACTTCTGGCTGGGTTTTCTTGGCCTTGTGATGATGCGTTTACGTTGGATGCTCCCGTTGTTAAAGAGATTTTGCTATTATTACTACATTGAAGTAAGTCACGGCTGTTTTCAAAGAAGAGGGCTTCAAGTGCCCTACTTAGAGCGACGAGTCCACAAATTATCCATTAGTAAATGGAGAAATGATATGAATATTTTTATACTAGATAGTAATTCTCTGCTCCTTGAATTACTTAGCGGCTCTTCTTCATACACAATATTTGATGATAGAAATGTGGTCGGCTGAACAGTACTACTGCTTTGGATACTAAGGACACTGTAATCAAAGTGAGAATTAGATCGAGTTTATTTTGACTTGATGTGTCGAGTAAGTATAAGATGTGGTAAATTTCTTGTGGGTATCAATTGAGCGAAGTTGTGTAGATTGCGAATACACTGACCATCGATTCATTCCACTGAGAATAGAGCAGCGGGGCTATTCCAAATTTTACCGAAGGTATGGCTTACTAATCCATCTGGTTGGAAGAATTTGTATAAATAACCATTCGCTGTTCGTCTATTTTCGACATTCCGCCCACAAATGAATTATCAATTTGACACAGATACAATTTACTTTGTCAAAACCTCTTCGTCGTGGTCTAGATAAAATCCGCTTTAAAACCATTGACGCGAGGGCCCCTTGCGCGGCTTCCATGATACGTTGATGACCTACTGAAGGAAACATAGCTCAGAGCGGAGCTTAACAATCTACTGTATGTAAATCAAAACTGTTTACAACTTGTTATGATGCGAAACCTCTCTGGTAACACGAATTAACCTTCACCATGTTGTGCAGGTTAAACATGAGATAATTGAAAGCAAACTGATCCCCTACAAAATCCATTCTCGATAACTGGGAAAGTAACCACTACTAACTATGAGGTTAAGGATTGTAGGATCTTCAGACAAGTATTTCATTGGAACCCATTTGGCCTAGAACACCTACCTTATAGTGATCGTGACCTCAACTTATGTTTACTACAAAATTACCTCCGTGTGTGATTTTCCTCGAGCCAATTCAGTAATGCCCTCTTGGAACGCCTATCTCTAATTATAGAGGCGAGAGGGCCGATGTTGAGTAACAAAGTCCTCACTTCGTCGAAGATTCCCAATAGCTTTCGCGGTCTGTATCGTCTTCATCACCCGACACATTCCCCTATCACCACTTGTATGAAGATAACCACGATCAGGTTAGATGGTAAGGTCGGAGCCCTTCTCACCACCGACCCTTGATCATGGAAGAGAAGCCATCCAATGAGTTTCCGGAGCGTTCCCAGTGCCCGATAGAGCGCTGGGGGATTGGATAAAGATGGCCTCGAATGTCACAAAGAAGGGAGATATAGAAGGATATGCATACCACATTTTTTCACGGTATCTAGGCCTCACCTGGCCATGTCTCCACGTTCTCTGCGACCTTTTCCCGCGCATGCAATTTCCAACGCTACCTTTAATTTAATATTCTTGTTTCTGGGTAGAAGGTTCCGTGGAAAAGGTGGCTGAAATCTACGGATAAATGCTGAGTTGGATGGCTATTTATCAAGGGCAATGTATCAAAGATTTTTCAAGTATTCCAAGAAGGTTGGAGCACTGAACAAAGTGTGGCCTGGTTTAAAGAGGATCCCAATATTCTAGATAGTCTACGACTCAAGTAGTGCAACAAACACACAAATAGTATCGTGGACAAATGTAAACCGGACCCAGTATGACATCCACAGCCATGTTTGGCGATACATCGACGCTACAACAAATGTATCTAAGAAAAGGTTTAATCAGCATATATTGTGCAGCATCAATACAATTTATTCCACGACTGAACACCTCAGTAGACCAAACTTTTTTTTTTTTTTTTAATCATTAAGTGTATGCAGCCTAACTAGCTATGACACTATATACATATTTATCCTTCTCAACCCACTCATCATCTCATACCACCATTTTATGCATATTACAATAGGAAAGAAATTCTTGACAAGTAAACCATATTTAATCAGTTGGTATATTTCTATCTTCCTCAACCTTTCCCCAAGATAGGCAGCCAGTTGTTGAGAGATATTTTAGAAGCGAAGTTTTCCCCACATTTGTGTTGAAAATAATTGGAAGTGTAAATGGTAAAAGGGTTTTAAACTCTTTTCTCCTCTGTTTCTTGAAGAATGAACAGTAAAGTGGTAGACCAAACTACCATGCTCGCATAATTACTCCGACGTGAGAAGCGCCACTAGGTTATGTCGAGGATTAGACGTTAAGTATCACTAGCCCTAAATCAGCCTGACATGAGCAGAAAATCAGGACTTGACATAAATTTCTAAAATTAATCCAGATCAATATCTCGAAGGCAATGATATAATTGAAAATCGCATTACACCGCTCAGGCGGATGCTTAATGGACTTTGCTTAAATGTAAGTTCTTATTTAAAAGATATCGCGAGAAAGTCAGTTTAGGGAGCAAAAGAGGAAAGTAACACTTGTATATCTACACAAAAGCGGACCTATTAAAATACACCATGATAAAAACTACTTGCGTGTTGATGACGAAGTTTTAGGATTAGATAAATGAAGATAAAGTAGTGTCGAAAGGGCGAGAGACAGAGAATTCGATCGCATTATGTCTAAGCTAGTACCTTCACAGATAGAATATCGGTGATACTACCTTCACAGCTCATATCTTGCAACACGTCTCACCAGCTTCTATTCGTTCAAAGATAAGAAGCTTGTTAAGTCATTACAAAAACGTCATAATTAATGAAGTAAAAGGCGTTTGCTGACGTGTGGCGGCTGTAAAATCCCGATAAACTTCACTGTGCAAAACTCTCCTACAGGGACCGCTAATTAACTCAAAGACATGATAGCCTTCGTAAACGTATCACAAGATTAACAAGTCGATCTTAACATATCTGTGGGTCCAAACTGGTGGCCCTCTTAACTGTTTGTGGCTCCAATTACATCAGCATCCGCAAAGCACTTTTTTTTTTAATTCATATTATATTCAGCTATCTAGCTATGACAATTTGGTTTATTTGATGGTGTAAACAAAAACAAGAACAAAATTAAAATTGACAACACAGAAATAACTAACATCAGATTACATTTCTAGTGCCCTTTCTCATCCTTTCTAACTTTTCTGACTATAATTCGTTCTTATTTCTATTATTTTTTCCGCAAAGTACTTACAGTGCTGTGACTAGCTAATAGACACCAATACGTCCTGATTATCTAAGCGGAAGTTGGCTTATTGACCTCTTATACTCTCACTCACTTACTGTACCTAACCCCTTCCCTTCTCAACTGGCCCGGCTTGGGTGGCTAGGTTGCTTATCACAATTCAACAAGACAGTTCCCAAGTTATAACAAATCTCCAATTAGTCAGAGATTCGACGTGTATCTAATAAAATGGATATCCAATCATATACTCCAATTGCGCAACTAACTCCGCAACTTGCATACCTTGGACAACAATGGATTAACACTGTAATTGCTCTTGTATGGCCCTACTGTTCCGCTACTGATACTTTTTCAATTTTACTCTCGGAACCCGACTTCAGACTTAGGAGAGCAGGGGGACAAGTGCGCGTAAATTTTTCAGGTTCAAGTGCTCATATTATTGCGAAGTCTGGGCTAAGTAGTGGAGATAAAGTCACCCTATGTCTAGACGGTGTGGAATGGGTGTTGGATCCCTCAGAGGTAAACGTTCCAGGAACCAGTATCGTATTTGAATTAAAGTTCTGTGAGAAGTTATATCTTCACGTTAGCGGTTCTGTTAACCTCCTTAGAATTCGGTACCTAACTTTAATTATAGTACCAATACGATGGTGACAGCAGCATTCATGAGATTAAACTTGAGAAAACTCACTCAAATAGTAACACAAATTCTTCCATGCAGCGACAAAACTTGGAACTAATTGATCCATCTACCATGAAACTTCCTGGCGAATCTTATTCACAACCAATAATTAATGATAAAGAAATACATTCTTCTCCAGCGTTTGTTAGGATAGCCAAGATATCACGTAGTTCGATTTTTGACTCTGATTACGACCCATTCACAGAAGACGATTTGACCACCACTGGCAATGGAAGAAAAAGAATACGTCTCAATTCAGTCGGGTCACGTAGCTATAGCTCGATTGTATTGGAGGCGGAGAAACTAAGTTTTCAAACCCCTTTAAGAGAAATCGAACACAAAAAAAACTCTCAATCACCTATCTTGGACGATAATTGCCACACGGATCAGGTTGAAAACGTTATCAAAACTCGTATGTTACAATCAACAAGGCCAGAAATTTCTATTGAAAGCAATCACAACCCTATAAGAGACAGAGAATTACACCTAAAACGCTCTATCCCCAAGTCTCAGTCGCCTAAAACCTTACAAAGCTTAACCCCGACTGATAACTATCTCGTTATTCTTTCGAACTCCGCTCCGAAACTTGATACATCTGGAGACCTTCCAAATACTTCAATACTGCTCAATACAACGGAAACGGAAATTTTCAATTCTACCGTAACTTATAATGAGAAGCCATTTTCAGAAGAACCAGATATTTTTACAACCAATGAAATCCAAGTAAATGAATCCAAGACACCAAAACAGCAAGAAAATGACCGTGAAGACGATAATCCTGGTCTCAAACCACAATTTTTGGACCAGAACATGTCCAACTATCCCCTTAGCTTAGCTTCCGCAGTGCTACAAGTAGGCAACCAACTCATAAAGGATGAAGATTTAACAGAATTTCAAAAACTAAATAGCGCACAAACTATGCCAATAACTTCCAAACTAATCTCGGCCTCATCTAGTCAGGACATAAACCTATGTGAGGAGAAAACTGAAGAAATGTCCCACTCTTTGAACACAATTTCAGATATACAAACAAGCAGTAACTTTACTCGAGATTCAAGTGTTATAGAGCAGATCTCTAGCCAAGATAAGACTCCGGGTTTCAAATTTACAAAAAAATCTAGCCTAGAACAAAAGACTAGAGCATTTAATGACGCCTCATCATTTATTTCTCAATCTCAAGTAGAAAATGCTTCACAGGGCTTCAAGAAAAATATCGAGCGCCATTTAGTAAATAGCAGCCCAGATTCAGCTGATGGGAAATTTAGTGAAATTCAAGCACTAGAATCTGATCAAGATTCAAAGAAGGTTGATAAAGATTATGACGAGCTATCTAGTGAAGTTTCAGATTATGATTACAAAACAGAAATTGAAGAACGAGAGTATTGTTCCGAAGTCCTTCTGCCTATTAATCTTGATCAGGTAGATGATTGCCACTCGTCTGACTCCTATTGGGGATCAGATAGTGAGAGGGTATTTATGTATAGGGACGAGGACGAGGACGAGGACGAGGACGAGGAAGAGGAAGAGGAAGAGGAAGAAGATGCAAGTCTGCCCAAGATACAAAGAACTCCTGTTGTGATTGATCTCTTATCCTCCGATGAAGAAGATGTCGTCAACCATACTCATATATTAGAGAGTGGTGAGGGAAGAAAGATACTCTCAGAAGAACCACTCAATCAATTTCTTGAAGAAGTAGTCAGTGATGATGTCCCGACGCGAAATAAATACTTGAGAGCGCCTTATTTGCCGACTCAAACAGATGTGAGGCACGATACTTATGAGGAAAAAGATACCTTGTCTCTTAAGTACGACGATAATAGTTTCGAGGGATTCGATAATCATAGTACTGCATCCAATGAAATGCACGAGGAATCAGACGAGCCTGCAGCGATTAACGCTGACTTGTGGTCTCCGGATGAAGATATAACTAAATCTGAGACTTCGTCTTTCGTGGTGAGTTCAAACTGCCCAATAGAGGTAAAAAGTTTAGGTATAGAAAGTTGTGAAGCAGCCCAGCATCTAGAGATTTTCTCACCAGAAATTAACGACAATGCCAAGAACTATACGTCATCTTACCGTCAATTCAGACAAGCAGGTGATTTGATATGTTCCAGTGAGAAATGTGATAACACATATCCTCTAGAACAGAAAGATGCGATAGGTACTCAGCTAGACCTGAACTTGAGCACACAAAACTCTCCTTCAGCCATTAGCTTGAGCCCGGACTTGTCATTGCTGAGCGAAGGTGATCTAAAATTGCGCTTAATCAGAAAGCTACGGAACGATCTCCGTGATTTAACTGCATTGAAGCTTATTCGGTACCGACAGAATCAAATCATCGACATTTTGGCCGTAGTAACAACGTCTCCTCTATCCCCACAACGCACCAGGGGAGGACAAAAAGATTACCGTCTTACATTTAATGTTACTGATCCAACGATAGCTCCATGCAATGTAGTACAAGTTCAGATTTTTCGATCTCACCATGAAGCTCTGCCTATCGTCGGGGTTGGTGATGCAATATTACTCAGGAATTTCCAAACGTTTATTGAAAAAAAGAGAGTTAGTCTAAAATCAACGAATAAGGAAGGAAGCGGTTCCGCAGTATTTAAGGGGGCAGGAGAGCCTGAAATGAGGGGTACTCCAATAGAGTTCGGCGACAGTGAAAAAGGATATGTTACCCAAATAAGAACATGGTTTGCTGGCCTTGATGGCGTTGCTAAGGCCAAAATTGCTCGTGCGAACGGGAATAAACTGAAAATAAGCGACGGGTGACAAGCCTTAAATCTTTAAACTATAACTGCCCCTTAATTGCAGTAATCTTTTTCGTTGCACCATATTTCTAAATAGAATGGGTTAGTTTTGTGAAAATATTGGTAGCAGAGTCTACGAATTTCCTTGCTTAGCTAATTTCACGTGCACAGTGCTAAAAGATCCTTCTAATCCTGGACCACAAGTATTCTTATCCGTTCCGATTTGGTGGACGAACGAATGATCTACTGATATTCCTCATAGCGGAACAGCGAAACAGAGGGAGTTCAGAAACCGGGATTATTTTGTTTACATCGGAGCGCGAGAGGTGAGGGTCAAGCTGACAAAGTCTAGCCAAATAATTTGAAACGTATCACATTATCCTCAGAGATAGGTAAAGCATGACTGTGAAAGAAAAACACTGTAAACTGATTGAGCCTATGACGGAAGATTCCAGACCCGTGCCGCATCGAGGCAATTATGGTTGAGAGTATATGATGGGTGGCCATCTAAAAAGTCTTTTAGAATCAATTAACACGAATGCCCAGGGCGTCAGTTGTTAGAGAGCCTCTCTTTCCCATGCTACCAGACCAGCTTAAGCAAAGGGCCCCAAAGATTAACTTTCCATCGACTGGCTCCGGGATGGCGTCAGTAGCGGTATGAATACAAAAGCAAACTTGGTATACGTCGCCCGGCATGAGCCTAGGCTGGTCCATTAAGTGCCCTTCTATTTGGGCATCCCAATTCAGGCTTTGGTGTGTAAATCCCTCGCGTTGCTGGAGCTCGATAGCATCAAGAGTGATAGTCTCGTCTCCACAATTCTCAAGCTGAGCCTCTAAGGTCCAACTCTGCTGGAGATTGAGAGAGTTAGGCAATACACTTGCCTTAGATCTGACAACCAGACAATTCTTGCATACGAATTGGTATAGTTTCCGAAACGTGCGTAAACGACCGCTAGTCGCGGATGTTTCCGAGTAGTTGATAGTGACGGCTAGAACGTGTGTCCCCTCATCTTTTAGCTGATAATTCACAATTTTCTGGAGGCTACGGCCCGGCTCTAGATTTATACCGAGTGGAGTGCTGTCAGAGTCCTCCTGTAAAGCTATCTCCGAGCCTCTAGTATCCGAGTCTGACCGTAGCTTAACGGAGTCTCCTGAACCCGGTACTTTCATTTCAGCTTCAATACGTACGGCACGAATGGTTTTTTCTGTAGGTGAATCGGGAAGAATCTCATTGTTGGCGCTTAGTAGACAAGAAAATGTTTCGCCTACGTAGGCTGAGCCAAATGCGGGCGGCAGGGTAAGTAGAGGAGAGAGGATAAAGGCATTATCTTGATCATAAGAAGCGGGATAGGCGTATGAAGCGGATGTCAGCGTTGTATCTAAAGATGCTGGAAGCGGCTGCTGTGTCGAGAGGGATGGTCGAGAAAGCCTGCGTCGCGTTAGCATTTTACTGGCCAGTGTCGAGAAATGTCTGTACCGAAGAACTTTCAATGACACAGAATGAGGTTCTCGGGTCGGATCTAGGATTGAGGGGGATCGTAATTGTGCCATAGTGGATTTAGTGCTTGCGTATTCCTTCTAGTTTTATGCCAGCTAAATGAGTCACACGTCGCGGCGTTCGTGATAGACCCCCATTCGCGCGATAGTGCCTGAGTTGGATCAACCATATAACCAAGTCCCCTTGCCATTAATACCATAATTTTTCTCCTACCGCTTTCAGATTTAACTGTTTCATGTATTAAAATGCGCTCGACAAGCTGTTTAACAGCCCGAAATTTACTGAGCTAGTTCTCAAGCACGGACACCGTGGCTTGGCACGTAATGATAATAATTATCATTCATTATCCTGATTTGGCGCCTTGAGGCCCATGCAGGTTTTATGGAGAGATATGTACTTTAAGTGGGATGACTCAGTTTGACGATTAAAAAACTCACACTCAAATTTCATTTGCAGATACCACTCGAGGTTAACCCATACGGCGTATAATCTCTTCCGTGCATACCCACCACAGGAAAAAGCGTGAAAACCCTGTGGTTAATTGAATGTGCTTTCATCATCCCTTAAGTACGATATCACCGCGAGAGAGAGTGGTGTGTGGGTATTACTGGATTCGAACCAGCTTTCTCCCGTCTCGAATGGGGTAAGTGTTCACGCTACCCAGTATCTACTTGGAAGAACGGCCCGTATGGTGTACCACTGCACCATCCAACCCAAGTGTTTGGGTAATTGGTTTGAATTTGACCTTGATTTCATCCAACCCTCTCGGCACGTAATACATGCCAATTTGGAGGTTGTCCTTTCTCAAAACCTTCCGGTTGTGTGTGTGTGTGTTTTATTGTACTACTTGAGTCTATGACTATCTAGCACATTGGGCTCCTCTCTGACCCAGGCCACACCTTGTACAGTGCTCCTATCCTCTTTTGTTACTTGAAAGATCATTGATATATTCCCCTTGATGAATAGCCATTCAGCTCAGTATTTACCCGTGGAATTCAGCCACCTTTTCCACGGAACCTTCTACCCAAAAAAATAAAAATGGTAGCAATGGAAACTGCGTGCGCGGGAAAAAGTCTCAAAAAACCTGCAGCCCCAGCCAGGCGAGGCCTAGACACCGGGACCACATGAGGTGCGCATATTCATCTATATCTCCCTTCTTTGTAACATTCGAGGTCGACTTGATCCAATCCACCATCTCCGTATCGGGTGCTGGGTACGCTCCGGAAACTCATCGGATGGCTTTTCCTCCATGATCAAGGGTGGGTGACGAGTAGGGCTCCGACCCGACCATCTGATCTGATCGTGGTTAGCTTCATGATAGTGGTGATAGGGGAATGTGTTGAGAGATGAAGACGATACAGACCGCGAAAGCGATTGGGAATCCTCTTCGAAGTGAGGACTTTGTTACTCAATCTCGGCTCTGCAGACTCTACAGTGAGAGCTGGAGGTTCGTAGGGGACACCACTGACAGGTGTTGAGAATAGTCCCCCTACCTTCCGGTTGTGTTCCCTACCAACCTCCAGTTCTCACAATAGAGTCTGCAGAGCTGAGATTGAGTAACAACATCCTCCCCTAAATGAAGATTACCATTCGATTTCGCCGTCTGTATCGTCTTCATCTCTCAACACACCCCTTGTCACGATTATCATGAAGCTAGCCACAATCAGATTAGATGGTAGGGTCGGAGCCGCTCTCACCACCGACCCTTGATCATGGAGGTGAAGCCATCCGATGAGTTTCCCGAGCGTCCCCAGCACCCGACAGAGCGATGGGGGATTGGATCAAGTTTGCCTCGAATGTTACAAAGGGAAATATAGATAGATATGCGCACTTATCTGGTCCAGGTGTCTAGGCTTGGCCTGGCTGGGGCTGCAGGTTTTTTGAGCCTTTTTCCCGCGCACACATTTTCCAGTGCTAACATTGCTACCATTTTTTTTGTGTAGAAAGTTTCCTGGGAAAAGTGGCTTAATTCCATGGGTAAACACTGAGCTAAATGGCTATTCATCACGGGCAATAAATCCATGACCATTTAAGTAACAAAAGGGGATAGGAGCACTGTACAAGGTGTGGCCTCGGTCAGAGAGGAGCCCAATGTGCTTGATAGTCATAGAGTCAAGTAGTACAATAAGTGCACACACACAACCTCAATGACATAAGAGTCGTAATTTCCTTAATATAATTTGTGGTTGTTAGCGGATGCATATATAAATGTAGTCAGCTCTAGTTATGCATGATTTGAAGATGATCCATATATACACATACATAGGGGAAGCGGTCTCTCTGGCTAAACCTATGTAGTGAGAGAGAGGTGTGTCTAGTATACTACTTGAATCATAGACTATCAAGCACATTGGGCTCCTCTCTGACCGAGGCCACACCTTGTACAGTGCTCCTATCCCCTTTTGTTACTTAAATGGTCATGGATTTATTGCCCGTGATGAATAGCCATTTAGCTCAGTGTTTACCCATGGAATTAAGCCACTTTTCCCAGGAAACTTTCTACACAAAAAAAATGGTAGCAATGTTAGCACTGGAAAATGTGTGCGCGGGAAAAAGGCTCAAAAAACCTGCAGCCCCAGCCAGGCCAAGCCTAGACACCTGGACCAGATAAGTGCGCATATCTATCTATATTTCCCTTTGTAACATTCGAGGCAAACTTGATCCAATCCCCCATCGCTCTGTCGGGTGCTGGGGACGCTCGGGAAACTCATCGGATGGCTTCACCTCCATGATCAAGGGTCGGTGGTGAGAGCGGCTCCGACCCTACCATCTAATCTGATTGTGGCTAGCTTCATGATAATCGTGACAAGGGGTGTGTTGAGAGATGAAGACGATACAGACGGCGAAATCGAATGGTAATCTTCATTTAGGGGAGGATGTTGTTACTCAATCTCAGCTCTGCAGACTCTATTGTGAGAACTGGAGGTTGGTAGGGAACACAACCAGCAGGTGATGAGAATAGTACCCCTTTAGTGCCAGTTGTATGAGGCTAAATAGGGTCTTGCTACTATTCAGATCCTACCCAACTTTTTCTTCACAACATATCAGGCCCTATTTCAAAGCGGATATCATCCCACAGTACGGAAAGAAGCTATTGGAATTATTTTTCCGAAAAGAAATAAGAAAGACTACAGTGCACCAAAAGCTTATAGGCCTACCTCCTTATTGCCATGTATGTCAAAGCTATTGGCAAAACTTTTTGCAAATAGACTTTCATTTCTAGCCAATACCTCAGATGAGCTTCTTCATACCGGTCAAACGGGTGGACGCAAGCAGAGATCGGCCATTGATGCATCATTATTACTGCAAGCATTTGTTGAAGAAAGCCATGCCAAAAAGCGGGTGGTCAGCACACTATTCCTCGATATAATGGGAGCATTTGACCAGCTTCAGCCGGAACAATTGATCAAAATAATGTATCCTCTCAAGCTACCCAAGAAACTTATCTCTTGGTGCCAGTCATTTCTCAATCAACGTTTGATCCGACTCTCCTTTAATGGGCAGATGAGCAAGAATTACCCTGTATCAGGCACATCACAGGGTAGTCCCATTTCTCCAATTCTTTTTCTAATTTCAATTAAGTACCTAATTCCAGATATTCAAAGCAAACATTTCCTACCAACTTCTTATGTAGATGATATTTCTATCTCTACAGCATCTACTTCTCTCAACAAAAATGCTAGATTTCTAGAAAATTGGGCAGAAAATTTACTCCAGAAGGCTGAAGATCTCAAGATCAAATTTAAAGTTGAAAAATCTGAGCTCATACATTTTCATAGGTACCGAAAGCATGATCCAATTCCTATCACAATTCAAGACAAAATATTAATGCCAAAAGAATAGTGAGATGGCTTGGGATCTGGTTTAATAGGAAACTTAGCTTCAAGACACATGTGGAAGAAAGAATACAACTAGGTCATGCAGTATTGAAACGACTGAAGCAACTTGCAAAGCAATCAAGGGGAATGAAGTTTAATAACCTTTGCCAATTATACCTCTCCTGTGTCACATCAGTTGTTGACTATGGATCAATTATATGGTTAAATCGACTTGGCTCAATGACACTAACAAGCAAATATGATCAATTACAAAATCGAGCACTAGTATTCATTACAGGGTCTTTTTATCAGGCTCCAAGGAAAGCATTGGAGGTAGAGGCAGCAATACTGCCCTCCAAAGTACGCCATCTTAAGCATGGTTATCTTTATGCACTCAGGAGTCTCAAACTACAAAAGCAACATCCAATCTACCAACACATCTTCAACACTATTGAAGACGAGCTAAATCCATCCTTTAGGCCTGATACAAGGTTGTTGAAGTGGCAAGAAGATAAAACATCTCAAATCAAAAAAATTGCAAATCTTTTAAGAAATATTACTTTCAAACATAGACTTGAGGCCTCTGACAACATTTGGAATCCTCCATGGCTTAGGACCAAATTCCAAGTACAAATCTCAAGCTCAAATAAAGAAGAAGCCAAAAGGGAGCATATGCGTTTTCTCAGCCAGATTTCAAAACATGCAACCAAAGTTTACACTGATGGATCTTTGAATGAAGGGGGAGTGACAAGTATTGGGATGGTCATCTACCCACCACATGGAAATCCAACACAGTATCACTCAGCCAACCTAAGTCAAGAAATGGGCATCATTGATGCAGAAACTTATTGTATCTTAGAGGCCATAAGGAGGACCAAACAATTACACAACTCTGCTCAACTATATATATTCACTGACAGCCAAGCTTCGCTGAAGAGAATCCAGAATGGATCAAACCAATTCAGTCGCCAGATCCGACGGGAAGATAGCAACATCAAAACCACTCTTTGTTGGTGCCCAGGGCACATGAAAATTAGGGGAAATGAGATGGCTGACTCCCTAGCAAGAAGAGCTGCTGACAAGACTCCTTCAAAGAATAACCTCTACACAACACAAAGCTTTCTCAAACAAGAGACTAAGAAGCTCATCAAAGATGCCCGGTGCAAAGACTGGACAACCCAGCTATTGCAAGAAGAAGCAGGTAGAAAGGCAACTGGCCTTGGGAAGTTCTACAG